AGGAAAAAACTGTTTAGAGCCTTACTGAATATGTCCTGGGAATTAAAGCATATGGCAGGGATGAGGGGAAAAAAGATTTTCCTTATGCTAATGACCCTTGATGTCTGAAATAAATTAGATCCATTAGAGTTCATGCTCAATAAAAGAAAGACTTTAAGCACTCCAAAGTTAGTGACTCGAGACCAGTTTTCGCTCTGAAATTCGATCTGCCTGCTTATTAATTCTTAGTGGGGCTCCAGAGCAGACAGGAGACGCAAAAATCATAATTCTGTACCGAGCCAGAATTTTAAAGGCCCACAAGTTTCTTTTCCTTTCCTTTTAATTAAACCATTTTCCATGCTTCCCCTTTCGTTTCCCTCATTAATTTGATTTCGTTCCCATTTTTGTTTCATTTTGTTTTTTTTCTTTTCAAGGTTTCATTTATCCCATTTCAACTGAACAGAGAACCCAGAATGAATATGGATTTTCTTGTAAGTTGGATGTTTGGATTTTATGTTGCTGAATAATCATTTAACGTTACTGCCCTCAGTTCAAGTTTACCTTTCTCTGGCTCACAGATGTGCACGCAGGAAATAGGAGCCTAATATATTCTAACATGAAAAACAAATGAGATCTTCACTGCTGAAGAGGAGAAAGGGTCATTTCAAGACTCCACGGGCTTTAAAATCTATCAGTCTACCGTTAAAAGCTCGAGTCCCAGTAGCTGACGAAACATATCATGAAATATGCTGATATAAGTAAAGGCAGGGATCAAACACTAAAAACGAAAGGGTTGAAAAAAGGCATATCTGTTGAGCTAGAAATCGTGAATGTTAAATAAGTAATGATGACCCAGTGGAGTGAAATATTAAGGATTTCGATACGATATTCTGACCAGAGTTGGGAATCTTGTAGCAGGGCCTCAAATAAAACCCAGCAGCAAAGTGGAGTCAGCACTTCAAAACCAGAAAGCAGTGCTCACGCAACCAGGAGTAGCTGAGATGTCCCTGGGTTCCTGAAAAAAAATCTGTCCATATCGACTTAATTGATAGAAAAGCGGATAGTCTGCTTTGAGGACAGTGTTTTTTTAAAAAGAAAGTGAAATCTTTTCACATACATTGGAACACAAAATGCTAAAAGAGAACAGTTTCCAGTAGGGAGTTCATGTAGACCGTCAACGTTCGAAAGACACCTGTCATTAGCGTGGGGCTGATCAGGTCAACCACCAGCAATGCAATGATGAGTTGTCTTCACCACATAAACCATGTGACTGTTAGTCTCGAGAGAGCAGTGGCCCCTCAAATTTTGGGAGCTCATGGAACTTTACAAATTTGAAAATTCTCTATTTCCCAAATGCACATGGATCTAAAATTGACTATAAAATTTTAGGTTGTTCTTGACCACCTGAAGTATCGATGTAACCCCCTCTTTTACAGTGAACAGAGCAGCTTTGATTAACTTTGCCGAATATTTCTTGTGGGTCACAGAAAACTAAAAACAGAGACTTAAAGATGTCACAAGGGTTCAGCAAAGGTTTGATTTTGTTTTAATTGTCAGCCTTCATCACCTTTTCCAGTTGGATCAAAGCATATCCTATGCCACCAAGACAATAGGCAACATTTGCAGGAATTCTGTTTTTGCTTTACCCAGAATTACGTCCTCAAACAACTGCACCCTGTGTAGGTCCAAAGCTTATTTGCCTTCCGGGGAGTCTGACGTTTCTGATCACTGAACCAGGACTTTGTCTTACTTAGGGCACCATAGCTATATTTTATTGCAGTAATGAGTAGCTCAAATGTAAATCTCCGACAAGGGACCGTGAGAAGCTCAGGGTTCTCAGAGACAATACTGCATCTGTATCCGAAGCCTGGCCTTCGAGAAGGTTATCGGCATTAACTTCCGCTCCCCAGATCTGGGCCTTCTGAAAGCACACCTTTAAAATCCAGTGTGTTTGCTCCTAATGTTTGCTTTGCTCAGTTCTACCATTCCGACCCAGCCCTCCATCGATTCAGGGAAAAGTGAGAAGAGTGCTATGGAAAGTAATTTTATTACCTGGAATGCTACTTAGGAAAATACTCTGGTTCAATAAATACACAGACTCAAATCATGCTAGATATTTCTAACTGTGTTGATGTTTATGTTTTCAAAGAACTATCAGTAAAGTCAAAAACCCTTCCAAACTTTTCCACCTGAAATGAGTAATAAATTTTTCCCCCCTGTGGGTTGTTTCCAGTTTAGTTCCAGTTTCTTTGTATACCTAGTAATAAATGGTCTGTTATGCCACCCAATTATAAGACAGATTAGTGGGTGGATAGATGCAGAGTGAGGAAGGCAAAGAAATCAGAGATCATTTTCCACTGAAAGGCCATAGCTGTTTTATATAGCTTTTGAAATGGATTTGAAATTAACCTATAAAAAAAAGGCAATAAATGTCTGGAAAAAATTATAGCAATACGTATGTGTACTGTGGGAAGTTTCTATAAGTAGCTGGTCCAATGTTTCATTCCTCCCCCCAGCTGCTCCTGACTCGGATGACGTTGCTCTCTACGTGGGAATTGTCATAGCCGTGATAGTCTGCCTGGCCATCTCTGTAGTCGTGGCCCTGTTTGTGTATCGGAAGAACCATCGTGACTTTGAGTCCGATATTATCGACTCTTCGGCACTCAACGGGGGCTTTCAGCCCGTGAACATCAAGGCAGCAAGACAAGGTCAGTTGGCATTTCCCTTCACACCCTGTTATTGATGCATGTGAGCTGTTTCCCTCTGTGCCTTCGGTATCAGTGACATTTGGGTCATCCAGTTCAACTAGAATGTAAGCTCCATGACGTCAGAGGGTTTGGTCACCTTTCTTCATTACTGTGTGAATGTCATTCACCTAACAAATTAAAGTTGACCAAGTACACAAATCATCTTTTTTTCTTTTCCGATGGGTTGCCCTGTCATACGTTTTAACTTCTATTGGAAAAGAGTACGCTGATAAGTGGACTGATTTCTTGAGTTTCCTTTTTCCTGCTTTGACAAGACATCTTGTATCGCTACGAATTATCAGTTTACCAGTGAACCCAAATCCAGTATACACAAGGGAAACTATTACGTAATAGTCATGTAGTAGGGCTTATTATTTATTCAATACAATCTGTTGAAATAGCCAAATACCTTAGGTATGATGAGTAGTCTTCAAAGCAAAATATAGAATGAGCTTGCTATTTGTTTATAGCCAATAAGAAAATGGATGCTAGTTATCTGATTGCCCTGGTTTCTGCAGAGCCCGAGAATCCACCCATCTCCAATATTAGCCGAGCTGCTTTGCTTTTGGCTCGGAGAGTGTGAGGGGGAGTCTGGCTGATGCAGGTTGGCCTGAATGGAGAATACAAATAGAATCTTTTCTCTTCTGACCCAGATCTTCTGGCAGTACCCCCGGACCTCACGTCAGCTGCAGCCATGTACAGAGGACCCGTCTATGCCCTGCATGATGTCTCAGACAAAATCCCGATGACCAACTCTCCGATTCTGGATCCGCTGCCGAACCTGAAAATCAAAGTGTACAACACCTCAGGTGCTGTCACCCCCCAAGATGACCTCTCAGAGTTTACATCCAAGCTGTCCCCTCAGATGACCCAGTCATTGTTGGAGAACGAAGCCCTCAACCTGAAGAATCAGAGTCTTGCCAGGCAGACCGACCCATCCTGTACCGCCTTTGGCACCTTCAACTCCCTGGGAGGTCATCTCATTGTTCCCAATTCAGGTAACTCCTAAAGGTTTCAGTTGCAAAGATGCAGCTTGAAATACATTTTTTTTTTGTTTGCACCAAAATCTTTTGTGTTGGTTTTCACTAGGCCTGAAAAGTTAAATGTGACCTATCTAACTCAAATCTACTTTCAATGTAAAACCAAACGTTCCTTCAGAAAAAAATCAGCAAAACCATTTATCTTCCCCCAACCAACTCTGAAAACACTTCCTCTGGAAATAGTATACTCACAGCCCCTTTCTGCTCAGGTATAATTTAGAATCATCATTGACCTTCTTTTTAGCAGAACTTTAGAAGGCAACATCAAGCCAGGAGCCCTGACTATTGTCATTGTACTTTAAAAGCACAAATTAATTAGCAAACATATCAGTTGGTTCAGTTCCAGTTTACTACAGGAAGCAATACTTCAGAATACTAATTTTTAGGTCATCAGAAGGCATCATATTATCAGATCTTCACTTAGTAACTCTTTAGCACATAGGTTTCAACCTCAAAATTTTGATAAGGTACACTGTACTCTCTCCTACCTCTAATATATCTGTCTAGAATCACCAAATTCATCAGGTGTCCTTCTGAAGTATTATTTAGTTTTAAGTTTACTATATAGTTTATCTGCATCTAGAGAATAAGCCTTACAAAAGTCATTAATGAGGACCTTAAGTTAATGATTGATACTGTTGAATTAAAAATTGGTTTCCATTAATCAGTAGTAGTAATAGATTTGGAACCATGGGTCATAAAAGGGTTAATGTGTTCCTCTCTGAATGTTAACTCTTTTGGACACGACTGTGAGTATTTTGTAAATAGAGTAATAAAAAGCAACTTGATTGACCTAAAGTGTTAATATCACATAAAAAAAAATATCTATACCGTCAAGTAATGTGCAAACCAATGGGTCTTCAGGCCTGAATATGAAATTGTCTTTGATTCTTCCTCTTATCAGTCCCTTATTTCAATGCCTTGACAACTTTCACCCCATACCTTTAAAAATATATTTTAACAAAATTAAAATATTTGATATATCATTTTTTTCTACATATAGCTGAGATCATGCACTATATAAAATATATCTTTACCTTTTTCCCATTCTCATGCTATTGCATGTTCTTTAAACTCATGATTTTAAATCTGTATGATAGTCCATCATCGACTACAAAAACATACTTGATTGTTCTTCCATTATTTAAACGTTATAAGTATTTCCAAGACAGTTCTTTTCCCCACGATATTCATTGGATTCTGCCTTTTCTTCCCATTTCTACACCCGCCATGTTTTCATATGTGAATTATTAAGTAGTAGGGAGGGAGCTGGCGTGTTTTAAATACTTTCTGTGCACTAGGCAATGGTAATCAACATACATTATTTTATTTAAGAGACTCACAATAGTTACTTGTTACTTTACATTCATAACTCTGTTTCTTCCCCATAACAAAGATGAAGGTACATTTTATGTTTGTATTGAAAAAAATAAAAATTCTGAGGCTTGGTAGACTCATGCATGGTCTTCCTACTTCTACACTGTGCCCTCCACAAATCATTCTACTTCCCACAACACCACGGCTCTGACGTTACCTTCCTTCTCACGAAGGCCACAGCTCAGCATCTTCGACCAGTTATGCAAAGGCCTTTGAATAACTTACCCCCCTCCATTCTCTATTCTTGAGATTTTTCCAACATGGTCAAGCAAGTTTTCTTATTGCCCTGTGCTGATTTGGCATATTCTCTTTCCTTACTAATTAAATAATAAATTACTCAAAGACAAGAACACTATCTTTTACTTCTTGGCATTCACAATAGTGCCAACACTGTACTCACAAGGATGCACCATCAGTTTGTATCGAATGGAATGAAAGTGAATTTCATGGAAATAAAATGATGGAGTCAAACATCTACAGAGTGCCACCACTTGAGTCACTCTTTGTGGTCACAGTGAGCGATTCAGGGCAGTGGTTCTTGCAGAGTGAGCCCCAGACCACCGTCATGGGCATCACCTAGCAACTTGTCCAGCTGAAAAAAAATCTCCTGCCCAACCTTCCCACCTTCTGAACCAGAAACTCTGGGGGTAGGATCCAATAAGCTGCATTTTAACAAGCCCTCCGGGCAGTTCCGATATAAGCTCAAATTTACAAACATCCACTACCAGCAGTTCACTTAGAACACAGCTCAATCTAATAGTCCCACAAAATGGCACCAATCAGCAACAAAGTAGAAACCTTTGACCCGCTGTGACTCAACGAGCAGTTGCTGTTCACTTTCTAGAGTTATGAATAATCAAGGTTCTTCACCAAATCCACTGTGGTGGAATAACATCGATGGTAACAAGACATTTCAGAAATAAGTGTTTATCGATATGGTTGAAGTTAGCATTTCCCTGACTTTGAATCTTGTGGGTTTTTTTTTTTTTTTTTGTTAGAAATGATGCCTCATTACCGCTGTTTGACATTTTGGGAAGTTATTGGTTTTCCCTTTGTTTTACAAGGAAAATAACAGTGGAACCATCTGTCTATTCCTTAAATAAAACAAGAGTTTAAAAAATTACATCATTCCTTTAAGTAACAAGGCCAGCGTGGAAGGAGACCAGAGCAACTGTGGATATTTACGTGTCTTTAGAGAACAAGAAGCAAGCTTATGGCTACAGGGCCACAGAATCTCCTCATTTCCTTTTACTTGCTGCTGCAAGCATTCCTTGCAGTTGCCGTTTGATGAACGGTCTTATGTGACTGCTTTTCTCTCTTGCTATTCAGGAGTCAGTTTGCTGATCCCCGCTGGGGCCATTCCCCAAGGGAGAGTCTACGAAATGTATGTGACCGTACACAGGAAAGAAACTATGAGGTAAATATGCTCTTTCTGGTGCACTGATTTTATCGATGTCTGACTTGGAGGAGAATTGGACAATAGAAATGATAAACCCAGCATATTCTTGTCTGAGGGCCCTGCTTCTGGCATGCATTTTTTCCCTAGACCGCCACAAGGTCAAGTTTTACTTCTCTTGATCTTTGAAGCTGAAGATACTTTTGTTGATCTTGACTATGGGTAGAAGGTCCGAGATCTTTTCCCGAGTGGACACGTGGCCATATTCGCCAAAAAGAGGCCAGGAATGTGATCCCTACACTGTCCAGAGAGACATGTGGGTAGTCAACTGCTTGTTTTCTGGCTCAGGAATCCAGCCTGTTCCCGTTATAGGGTTAAAGGTCACAAAGGATTGGACAACCCCTTAACCCCTGACCTGCCACTCCCACCTCGGCCTAGCACTTAATTCATACCCACTGTCTTCTAGCTTCAGTGTTACCAACCTCCTCATGGTTAGCACTTACGAAGTCCTACGTAGGCCTTTCAAAATGGGGCTAGGGTTGATTAAAACAAGATCGAATCAAAAGGTGCTGTTTCAAATGTGTCATAATCATAAAGATTTAAGCTTTTTTTTAAGTCAAAATAACAAGAGGAGTTTAGAAGTCCTAAATTCAATTTTCAGTGTGGCCTCCTCTTACAAATCGTACACAGTCTTTCCTGATTAGCTCCCATAGAAAGCTCATGTGTTAAATAGTGCTTCGTAGGCCTGACTGATTAATGCTTCTGAAGTACACTGAGATCTTAAAATAAAAGATGCTATTAAGACGGAGATCCTCATCGTATAATTATCAGTGTTTTTCCCAGGGGGAAACACATGGGCTCCTCAGTCCTGAGCTCTGAATACAAAGCACGAGTCACAAATGTGGAACTAGGTTATCATTATAACGCATTATACCTTTCCTTTCCTCTCATCCTCAGAAAAACATCCATTTTTAGTCTTGTTCTCCAGTAGCCAAAATGCTCTTTAATTGTGCTCTCCGGTGGAGATATTGGTATTTATAATCAACCCCAGAACATTTTTTTTCCTCAGGTGGTATACTTTCACCTCCATAAACACTAGCCTGTCTGAGAAAATAATAAAATTCCTTGAGCATTATTCATGCCTTAAATCTGAGCAACAGAAAATCACTAAAAGGCTTGTATTGACCTGTATCAAATATTCATTTTTTTCATTCCCAATGCAAAGCAACATTCACAGGCCCTCGGAGCTCCCTTCTTTTGTAGCAGGAGAAAAGAAGATTAGCAGACTCCAAGACCTCTTTATTTTATTTCTTTTTCCTTCTTTCACTTGTTCAGAGTGAAGGTTAGCGTTAAGTACATCCCTCCATTGGAGCCTTTGCCAGCATGGACATTTTGTTTAAACAGAAATAAGAATTGGCTTGTGCTTTATGCTGAGAAACAGGGAGATGCTTGGGGTCTCTTATTTTCCATCCAATCGCCATTATCTTCAGCTGAAGATCAAACCTTGAGGGGCTGCCACAGGCCTGGGCTGGAGCTGAAAGGTGTGTGCTCACCCTGGCCTGCTCTGCTTTCCTTCCCAGAGTTTGGTCGGCACCCTAACCAGGACAATCGTACATTTTAGATGCTTTTAGCTTGCTCTGTGACTATAATGAAAAGGAAACTAGAAATCACTCCTCAGCATTCCTACCACCTGAAGTTAGGTGCAGAGGGAATTACTCTGTTGCATCTGGCGTGCATCAAAGAAGTTCTGTTGATAAAAATGAAACTGGAAGAGCAAATGATACTGTATACGAAAGACACCTGCACCCGAATGTTTATAGCAGCACGATTCGCAATTGCAAAGATGTGGAAACAACCCAAGTGTCCATCGATACATGAGTGGATTAATAAAATGTGGTATATGTATACCATGGAGTACTATTCAGTTTTAAGAAACAATGGTGATATAGCACCTCTTGTATCTACTAAGCAAAGTATCCCAAGAATGGAAAGACAAGCACCACGTGTACTCACCATCAAACTGGTATTAACTGATCAACACATAAGTGCACATATAAGAACAACATCTATTGGATGTTGGGCAGGGGGGAGGGGAAGGGGGAGGAGGGGACGGGTATATGCATACACAAAGAGTGCAATGTGCACCACCCGAAGAATGGATATATTTGAAACTCGGACTTGCGGGGGGGGGTAAGGGCAACATACATAACCTAAACATCTGTACCCCCATAATATGCTGGAAAAAAAAAACCAGTTAACCCTGAAAAAAAAAAAAAATGAAACTAGAGAAACCTCAAGAACTCAAAAGAAAATACGCACAAGAGACCATGAAAGAAGGCGCAGATGTGAGAAGAGAACCTTTGACATCCATGAGACGTTCTCGCTTTGCTAATTTGCTGTCGTATACTAGATGCGTTTTAAGTGTAAAAACACAATGATGAGAATGTGCTCTAGAATCTAGTCACGATACAAAGCATCGTTGCCATTTGTTTGGCGCACTCTTCATTGCGTGTACTACTCCATGCCGCACTCTGCAAAGGATGATGAGCTCCATTTTAAAGATGAAGAAACCGAGGCCCAGGGAAATCAGGTTGCATTGCTGAGGTTTCACAGGTAATAACTGAGGGAGGCTGAGTTCCAACCCCGATTTATCTGAGCCTGGAGCTCTTCTGCTTCCTAATGTCCATCCTCCCCAAAAGCCCCAGTGTGGAAGAAAGCCAGGCCTCTGCCTCCTTCTTACAGGGTTGGGTCCCTTCTCTGTGGTTCCCTCAAGATGCTTTCTAGCCTCATGGGACACGAGATGGAACTTCCTTAGGAGAAGACTGAGGACATCAGGAGATGGGGATGTTACTTTCAGGCATTCATAGGGAAATTCTTAAGCATTTTTCTGTTTTCCTTCTCTCTGATTTCTTTTTCTTGCCTCCCAAACTGGGTGTGTTTCCAGCTGGATGCTGTCCAGCCGGTCATCTGCTGAGGGGAATTGTCTGAAGGGAGGCATGAGCTTAATTACATGTGGCACAGTGAGTGTGACAAGAGAAGCCTTATCATTACTGAATGTGCTCTAAGAGAAAGCACAGACTGGCAGATGAATGTCCCGGGTGAGCCGCAGAGAGGGGACAGGCTGTCTCTGACCAAGGAGGGTGCAGGGCTGCCAGGCTGTGCCCAGGCTTCTGCCTCTCCCACTACGTGAAGAAGCCACAAAGCCTTTGTTTTTCCCTGTGGGTACAATTTCCACAATTAATGCCGCTAACATGGGCCCTTTTGCCTGGTTTCTAGAAGCAGTTTTAAAAAACGAATCTGACTCAGAGTGAAATGTTGCCTGTTTTTGGTGCTTACTGAAAAACAATTTCAGTGGAAGATGTGAAAGTGAATTTGCGCCTTTCTCCGCATTCTGTACTTGCCTAGCAGTTTTATCAAAAGGCAAAAAAAAAAAAAAAAAAAAATCAATTTAGAAATTCCAGACACAGAGGTAAATAGAACACCTTTATGTAAACTGTGGGGAGCCGGGGAAGGTTTCTGAGCAGCCGAGGGACACAGGAATAGCAGCGCTTTCTAAAGATTGTGGCGATGGTGTGTGGGCTGCGCTGATGGAGGGGACAGAGAGAACCTTCTGGAAGTCAGGGGCCTGGCTGGGCTGCAGCGGTGGCATAGGTGTGAGGAGAGAGGTGGGTGACCCAGGCCTGGGTCTGAGGGGATGGAAGGGGACATGAGTTTCAGAAGAAAAAGTATGTCACAGCTGACACAGGATGGACCCAGGAATCCAGCCTGGGGCGCTGGGAGAACTGAGGCGATGAGAGGGGTGAGAAGCAGAGACGGGGTTGAGGGCAGAGGATGGATTCCAGCATGGCCGCCTTCTGTTCAGAGTGTGTGAGGGGCCTGGATTCCTGCCGGACACGCAGTGGAGACGCCAGGGAAGGGAAGGAAACTCCAGCAAGGAAAAGGCAGAGGCAGAAAGAAGCGAACTGGGGAAAGAACTTGGGGGAATATTCCTATCAAGCTTTGGGTGTAATGAGGGAAACGAAATAGAACATGCAGGGACAGGATAGGCAGATACAGAGTTTGCTTCTGGCTCGGTGCTTGACACGCAGTGGCTCCTCACTGAATGCTTCTGGAAGAACAAATGTTTGTGAGGGCAAATAAACAAACCATGCCGTTACAGGATCTCAAAAGTCAAAGGTAAAGAGAGCTTTACGATGGCGCTGCAACACAGAGCTGTTACTAAAAATGTAAAGAAAAAGGAAAGGAAGTAAAAAACAAAATTATTGGATTTGGCAACTTCAGGACATTGGTAGCCTTTAGGATTTTTTTTTTAAAGACAGCGTCTCACTCTGCTATAAGGCTAGAGTTCAGTGGTGTCATCGTAGCTCACAGCAACCTCAATCTCCTGGGCTCAGGCGATCCTCCTGCCTCAGCCTCCCAAAGTGCTAGGATTACAGATGTGGGCCACCGTGCCTGGCCTAGGATTTTTTTTTTTATTTTTTAATTGGTGAAATCCCCAGAGAAATGGTTTAAGGTATGAGTTAGTGGCAAGGCAACAAAAACTAGCATACATATCTACTATGTATAAACAATGCTAAAAACTAGCATATATATCTACTATATATAAATACTGCTAAAGTAATGCATTAGAATAAAAGAGAGGGTAATCACATAGGAGACAGCTTTTACTTTAACATGTTATTGCTTAGAACTTTGTAAAATAGTAGTGGACATTATTATTTCCCAGGGAAACTCAGTGATATTTCTCCTTTAGGTAGAAATTCCTTTCTCATTCACGAGTCCCAAGTTCCTCAGTTTGAAGGAATAGCTCTAAAACAACCAAAGGTGGGAGGTTAGTCAGTCTGAGTACGTTTAAATCTTATTCTCTCACTGTTCTTGACAGTTTCTTTATTGAAATCCTACTTAGAAAGAAACACTTCAAGCGGTTTATGAAAACACATTCTTTTCAATGGGAGGAAAACATTTAAATAAATGGATGGAAAAACGATAAGAAAATGGGGAAAAAAGTAAGGTCGTAAAAGATAAGATAAAGCCAGATGACAGTTAAAATAGAAAATATTTGATGTAATTCCCAACAGATTTGCTGGTACTAGGTCATGAATTTACTATTTCTAAGCTTTTCAAGAGGGGAATGTGTTAAGTTATAAGAAAAAGTTATGCCTCGAGGAAGCTCAATTATTTCTCCTTCGGTTTCTCATAAAGAAGACGTTTTGTTAATATAATGAACAACATCCTTAAAATAAAAACAGCAATGAATTTTGAGGGCCGCTTCTATTAGCATCCTCAGTGGAAGAAGCAACGCACAATGCTTCGCTGTTCTGGCTTAATTCGGGGATAGATTTTGGCCTGTCTAGGGAAATGGTAGCACGCCCTTCAGGGTGACTTCCATAAATGTTATTTTTGCACAATTGAGCTTTTGATAGCAAGTGAGTTGGATATTCGCTGTCAGGTAGCTGGAGTGCAAATATTTCAAGTCGCCAGTTATGTGTGAAGGCGTGTGCTTTAAAAGGCAGCTGAGCCTGGCGTGGGACTGTCGCCCTGAGAGATCTGACGACAGACACGTGTGTTAATAGAAGGCATCTCATGTCCACACAGAGATGGATGGAGACAGATTCTTTTCGAGAAGTTTTGAGCCGGCTCTAGTGACCAGACAGGAAAAGTTGATCAAGGCCCTACCTAATCCCATATAAGCAGACCAAAGTATACCACTGTAGGAAAGAAATTAAATGACTTGTGATTGGAATCTGGCTTTGCTTCTGACTAGATTGCATCCTTAGAAAAAGCATTAATATCTCTGGATTTCAGTTTCCTCTTCTGGAAAAGAGATTAATAGAAATACTTACTCTAAATACCTTATAGGTGTGCCAGGAGCAGCCAATGCAATTGCTCATAGGAAAGTTTTGTAAATTATGCACGTTTGTACAGAAGTTCTGCTCGCTGATAACAGGGAGCAAAGGATGAGGAAATATCTCTGACGGGAAACTGGAATTTCTCTCTGTGGGCTTTGTTTGAAAGGCCTCAGAGCTCATCCAGCATTTATGGTGATATTATCCTCTTTGGACTTTAAAAAGCACTTAAAATTTTCATCATTATTTTTTGCTGAATTTCTACTTAATTGCTGCTTCTGCAGCTAATTTTTGCTCTGTGTTCATTTCCGTATCATCTGCAATTAATATTTACAGACTGTTTTGCTGGGATGGCTTAGATAACACATGAGACAGAAAAGAGCGAGGCCTTTCTTTGCAAAAACACAAATCAGGAATATTTATTTTCTACTATTTTATTTTATGTATTTGAATCTCCTCCCTTTATACAAATAAAGAAAATGTGAAATTAGACACTATGGCATTCGATTTCACAAAGTTAAGTCTTGTCTTGCCGAAGTCACTCCTATATGCTCAGAAATGGTTCCAATTTCAGCGCTACTTCTTTCATAATCTAAGAGAGTCTTATCATTATTTCCTCTTTGTTTTTCATTCCCTGTTATGAATTCTACTTCACTACTTCCCTATTCATTACATTCTTGCACCTCACTGGGTTAATAAATTCTTTTGACACCTACTGCCCCTCCTTCCTCCCTCCTTCCTCCCTCCTTCCCTTGCTGTGTCTCCTAAGAATGGTGTCCATCAATATTGCATGGCAGGGGTGTGCTTGGAGAGTACGGGCCTGACAGCTTCCCCAGCCCAGTAGGGAGTCTCCTTCTCCCTTCTGTTCCAAGTCAGTGAGGAGCCGAACCCCTCCTCCTTCCTGCCTCAAGCAGGGGCTGCTCACACCAGATGGGGAGATAGATGTTTCCAATCCCCAGCTATATTGCAAGGGCCACGTGACACGGATGCCACTTGAGTCCCCTTCCTTAAAAGTTTAATATTCACTTTTCAAGGTACACTTGTAACTAAAACATAAGAGGAGTGCGCAGAAGAAAAAAAATGCGATCATTGCTTTTTTCTTTTCCTCTTGGGGGAGGAAAAGTAGAATTAAGCAATAATAAAACCACTGCTTAAGGCAGATGGTGTAATATTAACTATGATGTAATGAAATCAGAACTTCACTAGTGTTCTAAGAGAATAAATTTTAGACTGGAAGGAGCAGAACAAACTGGGTTAATAGGAGATGACAACCAAGGAGGTAAAGGGGATGGTAATGATGTCTCAAGCTACTGCCTATAACCCTAGTATTCCAAATACAAGTACCTTCCCCAGTATCTAGATAACTTTAGATTTAGTAGAGAAACTGCGTTATTATTCAATGAGATTAGAGATATTAAAAGGTGAAAAGCAGGTAAAAATTATTTTTGTTTTTTTCAGTAGGAAGAAAGAAAAGCCATAGGTTGGCGAGATCCTAGTGCAGTTTTAGAATGAGAGAGGAAGCAGTGAGAGCTGAGAATTATTAAGGGGAAAATATGCCAAATTTTAAATGAGTTATTAAAACTGATAATAAGTCAACTGTGAGAGCTCTAAGATTTGAACTTGCTTGTGAGCTACCAAGTTAGCTGCCACGGTGTTATGGATGGTGACAGAAGACACAAGACTCTTGGGTCAGAAACAAAGGACCGTTTATTACTCACAGCAATAGCACTATAAAGAGTATCATCATTTTTATGTCAGTTTCCCAAGCTCCAGTTCAGAAATGGTGACACAAATAGGGTTCTATGACATCTACACACTCAGTGGCTCTGTTCTACAAAAGGATCTTGAGCTTAGGGAACCTGAGTCTTTTATAATGAGAAGTAGACATGCCTGCCATTTGCTTCGGAAGTAGACACCATCTTAACTTCCAATACAATGCTTCCTATACGAGCATCCTTGAAAAGACAGTCAAGAACATGAAGAAACATGAGAAATCCATGGAGAATTATCTTCCAACGATATTAAAAATAATAATAGCTGCTATAATTCATTGAGTGTTGGAAGAGGGTAAGCATAGATATAAACTAACTTCTAGATTATGTAATGATATACAAACTGTAGATTAGAGAAAAATCAATTTCAAGTGGCCATTGCCATTATGAAAGAATTTGATATGTCCCTTGTAATAGTCCTGTGAATGAGATCAAAAGATAAGAACTGGACAATGTCCATTTTAATGGGTTAATGTTTGGTCGAATTAAGTAACTTTAAGTATTGATGTCACACTGAAGAGTGGTTTCAAGTGTCATCCTTAAAAAGGCCTCTGCCTTTGCCCTCTTCTTGTGTTACAGTGTTATCAGTGGTTGGAATGAAAACATAAATGGCAGGCATATCGGATGTATGGAGGATAAAAGATGGAAGAGATAGGCGGTATTTGGAGGAAACACGTAGCAGTAAGAAACAGATGGCCTAAAATTTACCCTGAAATAGTTAAGGTGAAAATAGAAAGCGAAACACAAATTTCTGTACCTGGGTTTAGAAACCATGGTTATAACCGTAAAACTATACAGACTTAGTTTAAGAGCCTTTCATGTTAGGAATACTAAGAGTGGTTAACTTTAAGAAATTTCTTAACCTCCTTGGGGCTTCATTGCTTCATTTTGTAAAGGAGATGATTAACCATACCATCTCCATCTTCCCATATAACTGGAGCCTGGTAAATAATATTTATAAGTGATTACTTGATTGAGAATAATCTAAAGCAACAATTTTGTGAGGCATGCAAAAAACTTCATACCCCATGTCAAAGAAAATAGTAGCCTTCCTCTACTGTCTACTTGAGTATTTAGTTCAAGATCCTCCCACTTTAAGGAGGACGCTGAAACATTGACAAGCATCCATATGTAAATGAAGATGGAAACATGGGAAGAGATCTGGAAATTAAGCTTTTCTAGCTGAGGTTGAAAAATTTGAGGATGTTTGGTCTGTAATAAAGACGACTTTAGAGACACCATAACAGTCTCCAAATATGTGGAAACGAAATGGGATAGAAAAAAGGGAAAGAAATTTCAGGAAGGCAGATTGTGTTCATTCTAAGTAAGAATACATTGTAAATTTGATCGGATAATAAATGAGGTGGCCTTTCAGGGGACTGTAATTCTGGGTGTGTCTAAAGCACCAACCACATGTCCGCCATGTTGTGGAAAGGCTCTGGTGTTGGGTGGAAGGTGGCACTTGATGAACTCTAAGGGCTCTTCTAAAGTTGTACAAGTCCATGATTTTGAAAGCTATGCTATTCTGATAGAATAGTTGGAGTATTGTTGTTGAGAAGGAATTAGTTTTTGTCTCAGCACTAGCATTTGTCAGTGGTGAGACTTCGGGCAGTCCACTCAACACCTGTAGGACTATGTCCTCACAAACCAGCTGACAGTTTGAGTTATTTATCCATTTTCTTGTTGATTATAATCTTGTTAGGGAAAGCATTTAAGGCAATTAAAATATATGAAAATAAAGAATTTGGATCTTTGAGGTTCTTTCTGCCCACATTCTCTGAGCATGAAGGATACAAGTAAAGAGACCTCGTTTTCAATTGCTGTAGGAATACAGTTCTGTATTTTTCCTGGTCATATTTGAAAGAACGAATCTGCTGTCCTAGACTGAATTATTTCTGAAAGTCATTTGGACTAAGTTTAGCTCTAGGGTGTCCTCATTTTGAAGTGATTTTTTTGAAGTATTTTTTAAGTTAGGTCCTAAAACCACAAAAGTATTTAAAACCCTGTGAGACCAATGGCAAGTATTATCAGAAAGGCTGGTTATGTAACTTCCCAAGGACTGTTTCTTCTCATTCTATCCTGGAAGTATCCATATATGAATTCAGAGGAAGCTACCAAAAGGAGATCTGTGTATGAGGGGAGGGTATCAAAGAGATGCTGGCAAATTTATCGTTATCATGGAGGCGTCCAGTCTTAAAAGATTAAAATCTTTGATATAAAGAGCATTTAATTCTGTGTCACTTCCCCCCAACACCCCAAAAAAATCTCCAAGAGAAAACTACTGGAATTGTTTGTGTAATGTTAGATCTCAGATCTTGAGTGCATTGTGCATAAATACCACGGAAATATCGCTGATGTCGTTCTCTGCTCTCCCACCAGGCCGCCCATGGAAGACTGTCAGACACTCTTGACCCCGGTGGTGAGCTGTGGGCCCCCCGGAGCCCTGCTGACCCGCCCCGTCATCCTTACCATGCATCACTGTGCGGACCCCAACACCGAGGACTGGAAGATCCAGCTGAAGAACCAGGCAGCACAGGGACAATGGGAGGTGAGCTTCTGTTGGGATAAAGATGAAATGCAAGAGCAAGCCATGCAGATAAGCAAGACCGATTATGGGAAGCCTTCTACTTTTAAAGCAAAACATGGATGGGATTTTAGCTCACACTCAAAATGAGAGAGAGAAAGATGGACAGACAGACTAGTTCCTGAGTGTTTTATTTTCTCGTTGGTAGGCACAAAGAAAATGGTGCTCAAGCATTAACTAACTTACAGGAAAAGAGCACTTAAGAGTCTTAGAGAAGCCCCTTTTGGAATAGAGTTGGAATATAGACACTGTGCATTGAGAAGGGATACATATAAATAGTCTTTTAATTTGCAGGTAGAAAAATGTCACACTTGGGTCAGAAAATGCTAGGCACTTACCTACAGAAAAGTACTGAGGATATAGTTCTTGTGAATTTAACCTGGGAAAACAGGAAGGATGTATCTCCAAAGCTCCACTAGAAGGAAGAAAATGTGTGGCATCTTGGCTGTCTGTGGCTGTCGCCATCATCCCTCCCTAAGGACAGTACCTTCAGCAGGTCCCGCTCCTTACATCAGAACCTTTCACTCAGAACCTATATTCAGAGAATATGTTTATCAAAAAATATCAAATAATTATAAAACCTATACTATATATTTATGTAAAATTTTAAATATATAAAATATGAAGCTATACTATGCAAACTATATTGACATAGTTGATGATTACTTATGGTATTGTTTTAGGAAAACATTTTTAGGAAAGATATATATGAAGATTCAAGCTCTTAATATTTTAGGAAAGCATAGTATTCAAGTTAGAAGAGTAGCAGGGCAGCCCTGGGATTACCTGGAATCATTTCCTTTCCATGGACGTGCTCTGGCCTTGCCCATACAAGAGGACCACTCTTTGTCACCGTGCACGTAAGAAACAAGTGAAACGTGCTGTATGTTAAGACCAGATTTAACCGGATCTAACTTTAAGTCCATTAAAGTTTTAGACGATTTATCTGGAAAACATCTCAAAGTCTTCATCTCACGTGATCCTAAATTATTTGCATGATTCTCTGCCTAATACCCTAATACTCTGGGTTTGAGTAATAACAACAATGAACTTGACCGATGAGGCGAGTAGAAGGGGATAATCCTTAAGAAAACATCCTTATGCTTGTTGAGTGACTGGGGCATGACATCTTCATTCTTGTCCTTATCTTCTAGGAGGCTTCCTATAACACACCATCACTAGGTGACACGTGGGGTTTTCCTTTGTCCTGCTGGAGAAAGCAGCTTCTGTCCAGGTGTTCTCTGGGGGCAGGAATAAAGCTGGGGGTGCTGAGCTTCTTTCTCTCTTTTTCTTTTCAGCTTGAGCTTCCTTTTGGGGTATAGGTTCAGTTGAAGAAATGATCTCACTGCTGCTATTAAAACAAAGCTCTCGTTTTGATGTCGCGAGGCCTAACAGACAAGCACCTAGGTGGCTACTTCTTTCGCATCTTTGTGTGGCACTGAGGACTAAATTTATGACAAAACATTTACTTTGTCGACAAATGGTTATTGGAAACGCACCAAGAGGCAAAGTAGACGTGGGCCCTGCCTTGCAGAGATTGAATAGCTGAATACAGAGACTGGATCATGCTCATGCTTGTGTTTTTTTTCTCCTGCGTGAGATTTTCTTGCATTTGCTCTTAAAATTTGTTCTTAAATTTGAGTTAATTAAAAGTTTCTAGAAATCTGAACTTCCAGCCTCTCTTGGCAAAGTCGGGGTTCTGTCTGCTCTGGGCCTGTCTTCCTGTATGGCAGCCCTGGGCTGAAGCCGAGGGGAGACTGAGTTCTTCAGACAAGCAGATACTCAGTTTCCCAGCAGTCTACACCGCTCCTTGCTGTCTTCTGTCCTGCCAGCCTCACATGTCCCTGTCACCTGGCTGCCCCAGGATGCGCTGGCGATTGTAACCCTTGGTTAATGGATCCTCCACTTGGTCTTTCAGATTATTATTTATTCTATGGCCTGAGACATTTGGATGAATCAAAACCTGGTTGAATTAGTAACTATTTTTACAAAAAGCATCACTTCCCCTTATTTGTGTTTCTTGCTAAATATTTGCAAAGTCTAAAAGAGTGGCTGTTTAATGGCTTCCATGCAAAATAATAGGGAAACATGTCTTAAAGGCACGAAGTTTGCCATATCTTACTTTCCATAGAGTCTGACGACCAAGATTATTCAGGAAAAGCAGTATATTGCTTTGGGAAGTATCGGGTGAGTTCTGGAAAACCATAGTAGAATTGCAGAACAATGTATTATTGCACAATTCCTTAATTTGTCTAATTCTTTACTAACATGTAGATTTTTAGGGAAAACGTAGGTTTTTGGGAGATCGAAAAATGCTAATAAAGGGCATCTAAATAAAGAATGTTGTTGGTGTAAAGGAATTGGCAGAAAGGGAGATAATGATGAGGAATGGAAGTAGCTTATCATAAAGCCTGGGAAAGAACAAAGACCAGGAATAGGAGAGAGGTCCTTCTCCATCCACTACCATTCACCACCACCCATGGTGGCCAACACGTGTCCTCAGTGGCTTAGCTGTGGCTTCTTCCCTCTCGTCCCCCAGGACGTGGTGGTGGTCGGAGAGGAAAACTTCACTACCCCCTGCTACATCCAGCTGGACACAGAGGCCTGCCACATCCTCACCGAGAACCTCAGCACCTACGCCCTGGTCGGGCAGTCCACCACCAAAGCCGCTGCCAAGCGCCTGAAGCTGGCCATCTTCGGGCCCCTGTGCTGCTCCTCCCTGGAGTACGGCATCCGAGTCTACTGTCTGGACGACACCCAGGATGCCCTGAAGGTGAGCGAGCTCCCACCCTGACTGCCCCCCTCACCTTCAGCTGGAAACCACAGTTTGGTGACACCATGTCCACCTGGACTCGTGTCTTGTGTGTCCGCGTGCGTGCGCCCCAGCGTGCACCCCAAATGCGTGGCCCCAAAGGGTACAGTTAAGAAACCAGAATAGACACCTCCCTGAGGCCATGCTGATATATGAGCTGTTTCCTTTACACTGATTCCTCCCATGGGCTGCTTTGTTTACCTTCCTTGATTTCTTTTAATGAAAAATTTAGGAGAATTTGGCAACGAGACGCGTGGATGGTAAATAATCTGTTTCCATGTTTATCTCAGCTGTGTTCCTCCTATAAAAGGAACAGACATCACTGCTCACACTGTATGTCCCTCCTGTGTGCAGCTTCGTTTATAGCTCCCCATTCTTTTTACGAGGGCTGTGAGGGGGAGAGGGTTAGCATCTGACGATAGACTGCTGCTTCGCAGGATAAATGAGCTTAATTCCTGGCGTGATTATTGCCATTCATTGGATCCCATTTGAAGCTTTAAAGGGATAGAGTGAGTGCCTTTGAGGAAGTTATGATCTGAAAAGAAATAAAAGAAGTATACTAAGGATGGAGGAGGAAGGTCAGGGTGTGATACCTGCCAGGCTGAAATATGCAGAGTTTTATGGGAATTCAGGACAGGGAGGCATCCTATTTTTTTGAGGAAATCTAAAATGGAGCTCACATTTGAGATTGGCCCGAATGGAAGGTAGGGTTTTGACCAGCAATATAAGGGAAAGAATCCTAGATATCAGGGGGTGGGAACAGCATGAAGATATATATGGCTGCAAACAATAAATAATGATTCTTTGTAGACACATTATTTGCCAGTAAGCCTGGAATGGTAGATAAAAATTTTATTGGAATGGACTTTGAGAGTCAGAGAGAGGAGCTGAGATTCCGTTTGTTGAGTTAATGGAGATTGGAAAGGTTTAAACAGAAGAAAGACACGATCGGAAATAGAGGTGAGAGATATTAGTCTGACTTCAGGGAAAAGATAGAGTCAGGGCAAGAAGGAGTGCGTGGCGGGGCAGGGCCTGGATGACAGAGGAGTGAGATGAAGGGGACAGACGTGGAAGGTCCTGTTCAAGTAGCCTTCACGGGACCTGGTGATGAGCGCCGCATGCGTAGAAGAGGTCAAGTTTGTGCCTCTAAACAACGGTGGCAAACTCGGGCCAGGGAGCTGTGGGATGTAGAGGTGGGGCCTGCCTTAGCCAGTTCAGGCTGGGATAACGAAGTCCTGTGGATTGCGTGGCTTAAACAGCAAACATTTATTTCCCACAGTCCTGGAGGCCAGGAGGTCAGATCAAGGTGCCAACGTGGTTGGACTCTGGCGAGGTTGCCCTTCCAGGTGGCAGACTGCCAGCTTTGCACTGTGTCCTCACTTGGGAAGAGAGTCCTGGGGAGCTTTTAAGGTCTCTTTTATAAGGTCACTGATTCCATTGATGAGAGCGCCACCCGCATGACCTGTTTATTACCTCCCAGGGGCCCCATCTCCTCGTGCCGTCCCATTAGGGGTGAGGATTGCAACATAGGAATTTGAGGGGGACACAAACATTCAGTCCGTAGCAGTGCCTTTTCTTTGTAATACTGAATTAGAGGTACGAATTGGGCATCTAGAAAAGATGCCCAAGAGACTGTTCGAAATACGATGTCGCTAGAGAACAGACTTTGAGCTATTCAAGAACCAATATTATGTTGCTATTTGTCACCCACGGTGATCAGGGAGAAGATCAAGAATGAGTAAAGGGGGAAAATAATCATGGAAATAATAAACATGTACTGAGAGCTTCCTATGTGCCAGGGAAAATTATAAATATTTTCTGTTAACTCGTTTAATCTTCGCAACCTTATCAGATGCCATTATCGCCACTTTATAGAAGTGCGATGTGAGGCAGAGAAAGTTGCAGTAAGTTGCTCTGGGTCATGCAGCTGTGAGTGGAGAAAGCGGGCTCTGTGCCCGGCAGCTGGCTGCAGTCTGTGCTCTCCTCTCCTAAGCTGGGTGGCTTGCAAAGCCACACCTAGAGCCCAGGGACCACAGAGCACCCTGCCGCTGCAAGGGAGGGGAGAGCGCAGCCAGTAAAGGAGCTAAAGAAGGGCGAGAACCCAGAGGAGGAATAGAAGTGGGGAAAAAAATGAGTCAAAGAAGCAAAGGGAAGAAATTTCCTTCTGGAGCTTCTATCCAGAGAGCAGTTGTGGGTCATGAAAAGTGAGCGTTTCGGGACACGTTCCCTGGGAAGCAGGTTCCAAGGGACTAGGTTGTAGGGACACAAATGGAAAGAGAGAGACAAGCCCGGAGCCTGTTGCCATCATCTGTTCCTTGTGGTGGATGTGGCCAGCGTAGTCTTGGGGGACGGGATGAGACCTGCTCGGTTGTTGGATATAATTTGATGGTGAGTCCCGTAAGATTTTCTGATGTTGAATAAATGTTGTGAACACACAGCTTTAGCGTAAACCTTAAGGTTATTTCTTTTATATTCCTTTCATATGTGATACGTCTAAGGCACTGTCAGGATAGTAATCATGCTAGGCTGAAATTCTTCTTATGGAAAACGATCTCTAGGGGAATCACAGGGTCTGATTAAGGCAAATCTTTTTAACAATTCCAAGAACGTTGCGAAAACCACACCGTACATGTTTGAAATGTTTCAGACTCATATTTTATATTCGCACACATAGTTCTCTACTCGTGTCTTTCCAACACGCACACAAATCCATGCAAAAATGTAATGTAGAAAATAATTTTGATCATTTTAATTAGCACAAAAGAGGTGCAAATGCTCAATATTGAGAAGGACGGATGAACAGGTTGAAACAGTGCAAACAACCCAAGAGCCATTTGTATCGTGGTCAATGCTTTCCAAATAGACGTTTATAAATTCTCAGCATCTGGGGGCCTAGCACTTAGCCTGAAACACACATGAATAATGGATGAGGCTTTCTTGCACCTCATGGCCTTTTAATAATGCAGAAATACCAAAATCCTAGTTATAGGTAAACGATCCCTCCAACATACCAAAGAGACAATTAGTTGAGTCCCCCCATCGCTGCCTCACACCCACGCTGGAATTGGAAGCTTGGGGCTGATTAGCTGCAAAGGCCCTTTATTACTGAAATTCTGCTGCCTTGGCACCCTGCCTGCTCACGTTCCCTGCCTGTCTGTCTCCCATCCCCCTGCTTCTCTAAGTGCTGTTCCCCAGCAATAGTCCCCCAGACACCCCCTCCTCCTCCAGCCTGCCCTACCCCTGACTCTCGCACTTGTGCTCTTCCCAAATCAGTAGTTCCCTACCTCTGTGCACGCAGGGATCCGTTGCTGAGCTTTTAAAAAGACTCACTGCAGGTCTCACTGCACGGGTTCTGATCTAATTGGTCTGGGTATTGGGTTTTGGGGTTGTTTTTTTTTTTTTTTTTTTTTTTTTTACAACACTCCCTGGGTTTTTCTATTGTGCAGCCAAGGTAAGAACTAGCATCCTAAACACATGCACAAATCTTTTTGGAACTTTATTCAACATCCATTGTCCTCAAATCATCCTCAACTTTAATTCTGTTCTATTTGGAACTTTAATTCTATTCAACATCCAACATCCTCAAATCATCCTGTCCCCCATTCCCCCACTGCTCCCGTTCACTGCCACTGGATCTTTCTGGTGTCACCGCACAATGCCTGCAGGGAAGACCACAGCCCCTAATGAAGCATGAGGCCAAGAGGAAAAGTTCCAGTACCTCTCGTGTCCTTGACTCTTTCTGGGGCTTCTCTCTACTTCGTGAGCTGGACTGACCTTCTGTTGCCTGTCGCCCATTCTAGTTCCCGTTCTAGCAGTGCCTGCCTTGTGGTCTTTCTGTCCACCCATCTTGTTCCCATCATTCTCTTAAATTCCGTATCACCACGTCCACCAAAGTTCCTTAGCTTGGATTTAATCTAGTAGCCGTCACATCACCCCACATTATCTATCCACTAGTGTGGACAACGCTCTAGATTTCATCTCATTTAGCAATCGCTTCATTGCAAAGATCTCCCCCACAGCCCTGTGACCTTCTGGCCCTCTCAAATGGGGTGCATGGAAGCTGCCCTTGTTCCTAAGAAGCCCCCTCAGCCTTGTGGCCTCCCATCCGCAATCTCTCATCTGCTTTTACCCGTATCTACAGGGAACTCACTCCCACCCTGGAATTCTCTCATCACCTTGAGCTGCTGCAGGCTTTTCTACTTTCCATGGCCAAGGAGGCTGCCCTGAGCAAGCCCTCTCCTCCTACTTCCAGGATGTTGAGTTGCTATGAAAAATCATACATTTCTGATTAGGTCTCTTATACTCTCAAGAGATTTGATCTAAAGGATGCATCCTCTGCGATCTTTTTATTTATCGCTTCTTGACTCATCAGATTTCCTGCAGAAGTTCTTCCAGGTCTCTTCTACTCTCACCGAGTCCCTCATTGTATGGCAGCCCCTTTTGTGCTTAGCGGTGACCTAACCACTCCATGGAAACTCTCTCAGCTGCCGTCCTGTCCACTCCCAAACCTTTTGCTTCAACCTCTTCTCCCGTAATCTGGACCCTGATGCCAAGGAGCTCTGCTTCCTTGTGTAGACTTTCATCCAACTCCTGACCACCTCCATCCCCACCATAGCAAGCGAGGCCTGCGGCTAGGCCTCCTGGGACTTGATATTTTCTTAGTGCCTGCTGTGTGCTGGAGATTCTTTCTAACTTGCAGAAAAACCCACAGAAACACAGGACTAGGGCAGAGATGGAGGCCCAGTGGAGGCCGATTCTCAGATCATAACTGGGCAGTCCTTGAGCTATTACAAAAAGACTCAGCCCCGATGTCTGGAGATGCACATGTCAAGAATATTAATTTTATCACTTTTTATCATATGTGGTTGGATTATCCATGTGGATGGATGGAAAGAAAAAAATAAGGGGACCTCTTCATCAGTCCATCTTAAGCAACCCTGATGCATTCTCTAATCTCCCCA